ACGTCGCGTTTCCTCCCGGACGAGTCTCCTCGAAAAGCCGCAGCTGTTCGATTGGAGCAAAGTTGGCGTGGGAAGAGGTAACCTTCGTTTACTACGTTTACTTGAGATTTCCGCAGTCATTCTCCTTCTGAGCTTTGGAATTTGCTTTCACACTAGTTTGATATAGAGCTATTTTCAGACTCAGAATAATCCCACTCTTTTTGGTGGTGTAAACACGAAATCGTTTGAGGATGTCGAGTGGGTTCGTTACGTCTGATGAATTGGAAGAACAGCGGCGGAAGCGACAAGAAGAATGGGAAAGGGTGCGAAAACCTGACGATCCTATAGGTGGGTATCTTGTGGGTATCTTTGCAATACTTCTTTGAGGTTGAAGGTTTGTGGGAAAAATGGGTTACCATTCTGTTGCAGAAGCCCCGGAACCTGAAGTTTGTAACAAATCTTTATACGAACAACTCAGGGATAATAGGGAGGCCAAACAAGCTGAAATTGACGAAGCTAAAAAGTTCAGTGAGTCTACACTTTTTTAATTACATGGATAATTTCTCAAACCAGGGTGCTGAAAATTGAAGTTTGTACCAAAAGAGTAGAAGTGTTGCAACCATTTAAGTATATGGTTTACTGAACCTTTTCCGTGCTTTTTAGAAAAGATTTCTAGAGCTACGGTGCTTTGCAGGTCAGACTTCAACGGTTCTGTGCACACCTCAAGAAATGGGACTAAAATGGGTTTTTAGACTGTTTGATAACCTCTTTTGGGACTTATATAGACTGCACTCATACTTTTCAGCGTTTTAAGCGTTCTGGGTAACAAGGAAAGTAAAACATTGATACATATTTGGGGCTAAAAAGAAATTATAGCTAGCGATCTAGAGAACGCTCAAAGCGCTAGATCGCTTTCCTTCTCGCTCGAAACACTGGCGGTTCTCCCAATATGCTCGGAACGTCGACCAACAGTATGGAAGGAGTCACCCGTCAAGCACGAAATAGGCGTGAGCAGCGAGTTGCCTTCAATTTAGATTCGTTTTGTGGAACTACGTTTGCATACTGTGCAATATGAAAACACCAGTCTGGCTCTAAACCCGTGGTACTATGATAACTGACAGGATTTCTGTCCTGAGCACTAACACTTAGCCTAATTCCCATGTTTCGAAGACGGCCCATTTCATCATGTTTCTCCATTTTAATGAACATTTGCCAGTGTTTGGTGCCTATCATATTTCTAAAAGCACCATTCGTTGGAGATAGGACAGCATAGCGGTGGGAAGAATTTCGATGATAAAAAAGTCGAAATCATAGTGGCTCTTATCATTCCTCACTGGCCAACAATTCCCTTTCCGGTGAAACTCGAGCGTTTAGCGGTGGAAGCAATTCCGACCGCTAAACTGAGGGATATTGCTAGGAATAGAAATTTGGCCACGATGATGTGAGCATATACGGAGTCCCAAAAGCCGTTGTCGGACACTGACAGAATTTATCTCCCACCTTTAATGTTCCCTGAGCACCCCTGAATTACTTGCTGGAGCGTTGCAACAACTCTGCTGTGAATTTTCGGGGTATCTTATCAGCTCTTATCATATCCTGCCACAAACCAATAATGGTCCCATCCTGCACACTATCTTGCCTCTTGGAACCGACGTCCCGTTGTGCTGGTCGACGTTGTGAGTTAGGTGTCCCTACCCTTCTAAGGCTCCTTATGGTATCTTATCAGCTGTTATCAATTCCTGCCACCCACCAATAATGTTCCCATCCTGCCCCCTATCTTACTACTTGTATCCAACGTCCGGTCGTTGCTCTGGCCGGTGTTATGGAATTAGGTAACCCACTCTTTCTCTAGGCTCCTCTATGGCTGCTTATCAGCGTTTCCGCCTACCCACAATAATGTTTCCCATCCTGCCCCCTATCTTACTTCTGGAACCGAAGGTCTCCATAGTTGCTGTGCGCCGCGCTACGAATTTGGTGTGATCCTCCCCTTATAAGGCTGCTCGCGGTATCTTATCAGCTCTTATCAGTTCCTGCCTACCAATAGTGTTCCTGCACGACCCCCTACATGACTTATCAGTTTGAGCGCTCTATCACTCTTTTGAAGGAAGTTATGAATTTCCGGTCAAACACACATACACACACACACACACACCAACAGACAAACTTAGCGGATTATATATATTGTAGGATAGATGGGAACCTTCGAATTCTATTGAACTTACCTCGAAGCGTTAATTTGTTCAACTATTCAGTCAGAACTGGTGGTTCAACTTCTATTAAATGTACTCGTGTGTGAGTATTACGGGAAAGTTTGGTTTGGCGCATAACTCTAATTCCAGAAAATATGCTACGAGGTATAGATGAAGATGAAAGCGATTTCTTGGCTCGAGTCAATGAAATTAAGTCGGAAGAGTTACGGAAAGCGAAAAAAGTAAGCTTCCAATCATTTTCTTTGATGTTTTTTTTTCAAGACCTTGAAATTTCAAGAGATCAAATCTTCGCAGGAAGAAGAGGAAGCCATCAGAGAAGCCGCTCTTGCTAGGAGTAAACAAAACCTCATTGAACCACCAACGATATCTCAACTAAAAGTATTACCTAAGGATGATAAGCCTCAAAAGTCCAAACAAGCAGCTATATTGTCTTCTGCTATTAAACGGAAGTCGTGAGTTTTGTGTACCTCATTCTGTACTATTCGCTTTATTCGCCACTTTGTCTTCACATGACAGCATTGAAGAGCGAATGACAATGGTGAAAATTCTGCTGAAAAAGTTAAACGTACCGAAGATGTTGCGAACAGCACTCAACCACCTCAACCTGCAATGTCAGCAATGAGGGTTGTCGGGTCTATACCGGGTATTGGCAGTTACGACGCTTCCAGGTAATCATTATTTTGAAATGTGCTTGGAGTACTGGACTTGTTGATTAAAACATCTCAATACGGATATTCTTTGTCTGCTTGACAGAATTTATGCATTCTGATCCGGCTTGCCGCGGAATTCCGATCCATTCCTCTTTATGGGGTCATTTATGAGTTCAGCTGTTCAGCTGCATCACCAAGGTTGAAAGGACTACATCAAGACCAGGCGCTATGGATTGCGGTCTTTGCCGCTTTTACCCTCCTTTCAACCATGCCTCCGCCGATAGTTTACAGCTAGCTTTATTTTGTTGATAAATTGAAGTGAATGAGCATCTGACTGACTTAGGTATTAGGGTGGGACAGCTCATCAGCCTTGTTTAAACCTTTTCTGTGTACTTAAGGGAGGCTCCAGAGAAAAAAAAGACTATGAATTTGTTAACTTAGTACGACATTCAGAACATATTTTTTCCTCTGGGGTCCCCTACCATTATGGTGCCAAACATCGACCACACAAGCAGGTTTGGACCCATTTGTTTTAAGAATATCCTCTGGACCGGAACTGAGTCGATACTATTGTGGATATATATT